TTCTGTCTCTATCTATCTATCTATCTATCTATCTATCTATCTATCTATCTATCTATCTAGCTAGCTATCTAGCTATCATTCTATCTCTATCTATCTATCTATCTATCTATCTATCTATCTATCTATCTATCTATCTATTGTTCTATCTAGCAATCATTCTAAATATTTATCATTCTGTTTCGCTCTCTCGTTCTGTCTCTATCTATCTATCTATCTATCTATCTATCTATCTATCTATCTATCGATCTATCTATCGTTCTATCTATCTATCTATTTATCTATCTGTCTATCTGTCTATCTATCTATCTATCTATCTATCTATCTATCTATCTTTCTATCTAGCTATCATTCTAAATATCTATCATTCTGTTTCTCTCTCATTCTTTCTCTCCATCTATCGTTCTATCTATCATTCTGTCTGTCTCTCTATCTATCTCTTCTGTCTGTCTATTGTTCCATCTCTCTCATTAAATCTGACTGTCTCTTTGTCGGTTCTATCATTCTATCTGTCCGTCATTCTGTCTATCTATCATCTCTGTCATTCTTTCTGTCTGTCTATCCTTCTATCTATCCATATATCTATGTCTCATTCTTTCTGTCTGTCAATCGTTCTGTTGTTTTATCTCTCTCATTCTTTCTATCTTTTTCATTCTGTCTATCTTTCAATCTATCATTTTATCTGTCTGTCTGGTTCTTTCTGTCCGTCTATCAATCTATCCATCATTCTATCTTTTTTCTGTCTGTCTGTCTGTCATTCAGTCTATTCATCCTTCTGTCATTCTATCATTCTATCTATTGTTCTGTCTATCCATGCATAACCTCAGTCTGCCAGCATTGACCCTTGACCCCTCCTGTTTCTCCTAGGATTCGGATGGCTTGTCCGTCCTGGAGCAGCTGGGACTGGACCAGAACTCCGATTTCTCAGACTCCAGCGTGCAGCAGCGGTTGGACGAGCAGCGAAAGAGGATCCGGAGAGAGATCCGGAAGGAGCTGAAGATAAAAGCAGGTGCGGAAAACCTGCGGCGGGCCACCACTGACAAACGCAACGCCCAGCAGGTGGAGAGCCAGTTACGCAGCTCCAGCCGCAAGCTGGACTCGCTCCACACTCAGCTGCAGGAGCTGGACGCCCACATCGTGGTCAAGGGTCACGATGACAACAAAGGTCAGGGGTCATAATTATTAGCTTACCTTTAAGGCTGCATGTAAGAAATGAGTTTAATGTAAAATTCTTCATTATTGATGAGTGAATACGAATATTCAGGGATGATGGGTTTTGTTGTGAACATACGGCAAATTGATGTATATATTTACAGCCTTCATAACCCTGTTAGACCGTGACCCCAGATGAATGTTTGACCCTGTCTTTGACCCCCAGATGACCTTCAGCCTCTCGGGATGCCGGGTCACTCCTCAGCCAATCAGGACAGGATTAAGGCTCTGGAGCGACAGCTCAACATCGAACTGAAGGTCAAACAGGGGGCAGAGAACATGATCCCCATCTACGCCAACAGGGTTACAAAGGTAATGAACGTCTATGTATCTATCTAATGTCTATCTCTCTGATGGTCTATAGCTGACTGTCTATCTATTCGGGGTGTTGAAATTAATCGTTGCATCGTTCATAATGCAGTAATAGACCATAATCGATTATAGCATACTGACGTCATTCGCATAAGCGCTTGTCCCGCAAGTATTTTAAAATGCACCCACTATTTTCGGCTTTCACCTTGGATGAAGCGGAGTCCAGCCCGGAGTCGTCACATGTGGTTCCCGCAAGCCTCCTTCGTCAAATCCGCCGAGCGCCGCTCACTCAAGCCGCTGTGTGTTTTGTTGTGAAAGTGAAACTACTTTGTTTGGCCTTTCAAAAGAGGAAATAAAGTTGGGCAGTTCCAACTTTGCAAGGACAGTCTGGCGCTTCTGCCTCAACGCCTGTAAATCCGTTTTTTATATTTAAAGAATTTGCCACTGATGATTCAAACGCGAGTTTGAGCAGTGTAGAGTAGCACTTGTTGTTTGTAATTTCTCCGATCACAAATGCAGACGTGGTTTTATGTTTACACAGCGCAATACGCAACGCAAAGCGTAAAAACAGTATAAGTCATTATAATCAGTAATTATGTCCCCACTGGATGCACCAAATGCTTCGTTTGTAATGGGTTTTATTGGTTTTGTCTCATCGTGCCGGGACACATGGAAACACAGTATGGTGAGGGGCGTAACATTTCCGTCACAGGCTTGAGGTATTCAGCCAATCACAACACACTGGATAGCTGGCCAATCAGAGCACACTTCGCTTTTCAGACTGATGAGCTTTGTAAAAATCGCGTTTCAGAAAGGCGGGGCATATAGGAGAAACAATAATGTACAGTATGTGGAAAATACTGTGTTTTTTTTACCTTAAACCGCATAAACACATTGCATTACACCAAATACACAAAATAATGTTCTTTTTAGCAACATCATATGACCCCTTTAAATCCGAGATCTGGACACATTTTGGAAAAACCAAGCTTAGTGCGGGAAAAAACCGCTCAGAATCGAACATGCATATGGCACGTGTGTTGGCTAGAGACAATCGCTGCGAGCTTCATTGCACAGGATATGCGCTGTGAGACACGTGAGCATTGCTTGACAGTAGGCGTGTTTCCATTACAGATTTGCGCAAAACTTTGGCAATATTTTATAAATGTCGATAAAAAAAAGTATTGAGAAATGACGGCGTTTCCCTTAACCAATGTTATGCGACTAAAACGTAACCTTTTGCCTCTCGCGATAAGTCATGGCAACGGATTTTGGTGGGATTTTAGCTATATTTATTAAAAGGAGTCGTAAGCGTGTATCTTTACAGAAGCAGCACAGAGAGCCACTTCAGAAACGTACGTGGCGTGGCTGGAATAAACACAAGCATTGACTATCTATCTATCTATCAGCTTCAGTGACCGTATCAGAGCCACACTGCACCGCAGACGTGTGCAGTGTACATTGTCTAAGCATTAATAGAAGGGAAAGCCCCTTATACTGGAGAGCGGCCACTTATGAAGTGTTTCTTGGAGGTTATAGTACGTTGAAGAATGATCATATGACTTTTTACCCAAGCAATGTGACTTGTGAATGCGAAAAAACCATTTCCATTGCAGTTTTGAGAATTATTCCTTTTTCGCATTGCCTGAAAAACCACCTCATGCGAGCGTAAAAACTTTTTTGCGATATATGGGCATTTTTGCGGAATTGACGCGTTTCCATTAAACGTATTTTCAATTCTCAATTTCCATTTGTGCAATTTGAAGGGTAATGGAAACGCACCATTATTTCCGTGTTTTACTTTAGATATGCTTTCATGATTGCCGTTTGGAATGCAGTATGTATTAGATGCACGAAACTCACGTACTGACAGACTTTCACGTTTGCTTTGTGTTTGTTTGTCCTGGAGCTTAATAGCGGCTGTGGTTAAATTCATCTCTGAATACGAAGTTGATGTAAACACAGTCAGTTATGTTTTCAGAAGAGGACAAAACATCTGATATGTGGAAATAGATCTGTGCATCAGTGTGCATTCAGCCACTGTCTATGATCTCATCAGTAATAATCAAACAGCAATAATGCTGAGGAAAAAAGAAAAACCCATAATTATGATTGCCTGTGAACTTTCGGACACTTAAAGCACTCTCAGATACTGAAAGTACTTTTTGTTTATCACTTGTAATTGTCTTTTCCCCCTTTATTACTTTATATTTGCTTGTATGTTTTGAAGCTGTATTTATTTGGATCTTAACAATTGTTTTAAATTTATTATTAATTTGTAATTATTTTAAAAGTAGCCTGCTTATATAATTTATAAAAAATGCACAAAATAAATTTGATATAATCGTGATGCATCGTGATAACGAATTGAATCGTTGACTTGATAATCGTAATCGAATCGAATCGAGAAACCAGTGATGATTCACACCCCTACAATCTATCTATCTATCTATCTATCTATCTATCTATCTATCTATCTATCTATCTATCT